CTACGGTGGTCACCATTGGCTTAACAGTGAACCGACAGCGTTCGCTTCTGGTGGGCAGCGTAAGAGTCACCTCAGGAAGACCATGCCTGTAATTAATGGTCACGTCTGGGAGGGGAGGGAAGAAAATTACGTGAAAAAGTCATATCATAAAGTTGTAGATTACTTTAAAACCTCTTTTTGAAACACAAGCTGAACACAAACCATTCTAGATTTCTTTAATGAATACAGCAGTTCTACTTCTGGGAGATACATCTAGATACAGCTATATATATATGAAAAAAAATGCACCTAACGTTGTCTCACCCTACTCCCACAAAATAAATGAGAAGCTTGTTGACATTACTGGGAAGGGAGAAAACATGTTGGGAAAAGCTTACCATCAGATGGCACCAGCGTGCTGTAAGGTGCTCCTTCCCAGCTCCTCCAAGCTCCGGCGTGCATCCACTGCCACACCTGCAGCATGGACACAGTGAGCTTGCTTTAGAAGGGTTAGGGTGAAGATTTATCTGGTCAAAGACAACACCTAGCTTGTCGCACTGATCTGCCTCTGTATGATCTGACAGCAGAGGTGTCCATCTGAAGATAAACCCCTCTTTTAGCAATTTCTATATAAAAGATGGAACCACCTTCATGGAAAGCACAAACATTGCCAAAGGTATTAAGGTATTGCCCATATTTAAACCATGCCAGACAAAAAGTTTAACTAATTCAAGGAAAAAAAGGGGGAAAGAGAATGAAAGAAAGGAAAAAAAAAAAATCTTCAGTGTTTCTTCAGTGCTTCATGCAACTCTTATAATAAGCCCTCTCTTCTCCAAAAAATAGTCGTTTGAAAAAAACCCCTATACCGTGGTGCCTGAAGGCCGAAGAGCTCTGCAGCGCTTCAGAGTCCACAGGGTAGCTTAAAACAGCAGGTGTGGTTTCAGTGAAGTCTTTTACTGCTGAATCATGAGCAGAATGGCACTCTCAATAACTTCAAATAAAATATAAGTGACCACATGGAAGGAGGCACGCTCAGATGCAGTAAGCATCCCCTACACCCTGGGACAGAGATGACAGCAGGTTTTTGAACCTGCATGGTTGTGTTCCCAAGCTCACCCCTTTCAGAGACACTGGTGAGAAACCATCAAGATACTTCAACATGTCCATGTCAAAACAGAGGAGACAAGCTGCTCTGATTAGACCTGTGTACCTAAAGCAGTCTGGGCATGCTGTGGAAGATGCAACTACTCTGACACAGAAGTCCTCTGCTTCTACAGCTAGTCCCCCCGCACAAGGAGAGGAACAGTTTTACTGCAGTGACTCCCACAGAGCAGGCATTAGAAACTGAGTGTAACAGGCAGAGGTAGGAAGGGAAATCACACCCCTGGCTATGCTGGCTACAAAAATTGTGCATAGGCTGGACCAAGGCCTGGGGTTTGAAAACTGATAGTTCAGGGAAGTGGAAATAAATGTGGGGAGAGATGACAAGAACCAATACTCCCTCTGGTGAGCTTTATAGCTCATCTTTCTGAAGGCCAAAACATTTAAAGAGTCTGCAAGCTCATCTCCTTCAACAAGGCAGGAAAGGAAAGCTACAAATGCAGAACACTTCTGCCCATTCAAGACACCAAGCACTGCTCACCGTGTTCACATCAGTTTTTAAAGAATCACAAGCTTGACTGTTTGGATAGAACTATGCTATTATGTTCAATAAAGAATTCATCTGTAAAGCCAATCCATGCGTTTCAAACATGCTGACCTCATCCTAGCTTTCTAACTGGAACAAGCACTCTTCAGGATTTAAAGAAAATAAGCCACTCTGAGAGTTTCCAGTGCTGAGAAATTTGGGTATTGTAATCTTCAGGCATCAAGGGCAGTCAGAAACATAGACTAAATAGGAAAATGTGTTAAATACAAGAGTATTGTTTTAAAAAAAAAAAAAGGTAGACATGAGGAGTTCAGGAGTGCTGAATGGCCACCCACAGCTAGGACACATGCAGCAACTTGTCTTTCTCCAGCAGAGCAAGAGACTTTCCCTGGAGCAGAGAAGGGGACGCAGACATATCACCAGTTCTCACCCCCATCTACAGGGGGCATTTTTTTCCCCAAAAGACCCTGAAACACACCAATTAGAACAGTCCATAGTAACACTCAATAGCCTTGAATATAGCAACCGTGTTGTTCCTTCAGAGGGATATATTTAAAGAACTTATTTTTTCAAGACACTTGATATGTAATTTTGCAATCAATGTCTAGATATCTATCATACAACATGCCCCAGGCACTGAACTGCACCAAGCCTGTATTTAAAGTTTGCTTAATTTCTTTTGTTGTGAATTTGGATAACTACTTATGGGGGAAATAATGCATTCAACAATTAATACATACTAAAATATTTAGATATATTAAATATATGAAGTAGGAATATTTATTTTATTAAATTACATTTGTTGCAATAAGGTCTTTAAGGTATTTCATTCTATTATTCTTTAGACTCTGGCATTACTATTCATGATTCATTGAGAGAATCTCTATATCCTGAAGCTTTTTTTTTTTTCTTTGAAACTTTTTTCTTTTTGTAGATTGTCTGTTCATACAGCTTACCCACTAAAATCATCTGCAAAGAATATATGCAATATAAGAAAACCAAAAGCCACTAAGCCATGGAGTTGAACTGAGTTCCAAATAATGAATTTGTTCTATACAAGCTCTAGGTCAATTGTGAAGCACAAAGGGCCAAGTTAACTTTCTCCATGTGTTTGCAGATTTAAATCTCCAGTTTCAATGAAGTTAGTAAACCATTACCTTGTGCCCTACAGCCAAATCACTGTGCCCCTTTCCAAAGTGCTTGGGATGACCCCTACCCTATCACTGGAAAAGAAATGAAGTTGGCAACCACCACTGCTACAAGGAAGACCTGAAGTACGGAACCAAACTAACAAGACTGCACTCACAGTAACATCGGTGAGAGCTGGAGCAGGAGGAATGTAACCTGAATTAAATGCATCACAACTTTAACTCTGGGATACTGTAAGGAGGACAGCACACCGCTAACTCTTTTGTATGCCAGTGCATGCACCTCTTGGCTAATTCATCTAACCACACAAAGGCTAAAGAAAGCTAATTTACATCTTTCAGCAACTCAAACACACATGTGGCAGCACATCAGCCTAAAACACTTCTAATGCAATCACAACTCTGTTTGGGAACTGGGCCAAAGGCTTCTGAACAGCATTTAGCTGTAAAACAACCTTTCTCCTTCAGCTGTGTTTGCTTCCTAACACAGAACTCTTGGGAGCAGCAGCTGGCCACAGTGCCCTGCATCTCTTGACTCAGTTCAAGGCGTGGACTCCGGGAGTGAAAATTCATGAGAATTTAAGGCACAGAGTGTTAATTATGATAAAAATAATCCAATATATTCCATTAAAAATATCAGTTGGTGTAAAACAAACTATATATCCAGTTTAAAATACCACCTCCTCTGCTAAGGGTACCTTTGGTCTCTAATAGCAGGGAAGTTGCTGCTGTTACAGCCAGAATGGAAATTTTAATGATCTGGTTTACAGCACAGCTTTAGGGACTAATGTAGCAGCATAACTAAGCTGGAAAACGAAGCAGCCAGACATGAGTGGGAGAGGCAGGAATAGCAATACTGCATTTTTCACTTTTGAGAGTGGCAAATGACTGAAACTACCTGCATTGCACCTTCTGGACGGTAGCTAGCTGTTCCAAATAAGCAATCTCTTCTGATGTTGAGCAACTGTTCCTGCAAACTTAAGCTCAAAGTTATGGGTGAACAGTTCTGTGTAAGAAATTGGTATCATCATCAGTATTCGAGGTGACATGAAAGCCTCTGATCTTCCTCAGCACTACATATGTAAATAGAAACCTCACCAGGAACCCTAACTTCTGTTCCATGGAAAACTGTAACATGAGTGGGAAGGGAGAGAGCAAGAAATACAAATATTTTTCTCATTAGAAAGTGACCCTGAAAAAGAAATTGTACCAAAAGATGTCATGAGGAGACTTCCTTAGAGCACAGAATTATTGTTTTTGACACTTAGTTGATTTATTTCATTTTGATTTACCATACCAAGATGCTGTAAAAAATCTGAATCAAAACACAGCTAGCCAACTGTTATGTATTTGAAACAGTTTTGTCTTTGCTGATCTACATCTCAGAAGATTTGTTAGCTCGGTTTGTTATTTCAAGGGCAAAAAAATAATGTAATGCTCTATCAACATTCAAGTCCCCATTAATTTGCATTTATTATTAGAAAGCTATTCATCCCACCAAGAAAAGTCAGCTCAACTCCATCTGCCCATTTCTTGAAGTGCCAGGCAATACTACAACTCAAGTATTACACATTCCTCTAGCATGAGATGCTGTCAAGAATGCCTCAAGTCAAACTCATAAGCAGTCTTCACAAAAAATTATTACTGCAGACTGTTACTGTGAATGCTACACTCTTCCATATTCCAAATTCCTTCTCTCTAAGCCAATGATAAGAATCTGAAACAGAAAAGCCCAATAATAAAATCCACTACTCCACTACACATAAGCTTTTTACCCTTAATTACGCTGCAGCAAAACACACCAATTAAAATGTATCTTGGAGTGTGCTTTTCAATAGTAATGTAGTGTTACAGTCTTGCCCTTGGCAGAAGAGGAGAGCTCAGTTATCTCCTGGAGTCCCTGTCCAACACCTGGTAGAGCTCCCTCCACACAGCTGCTGAAGGACAGGGGGACAGGAACAGAAGGGACAAAAATCATGGGGGAAACTAGTTGTTGCAATACCTTAAAATTAATTTTGGGATCTCTCTTTCCAAGTGTCACTAGATGAGCCAACATCCCCAGTATGCATCGTTCTCCCCAAATGTTTATCTTACCCAGCTCGTGAAGGAGAGGGCAAGACAGGCCACCTCTCTACATGCTGCTTCTTGCTTGTCTGGAGCAGGAGGAGAATGAGGGCAGGTACCTGTTAGCCACTGTTCAGTGAGGGCATGTACTATAAATAGCTATTTATATTTTCCATATTTACTTATATGTTTTTCTGTCTCTAATAAACACGCCTACAAGTTCTCTGCATATGAATGATGTCAGCTCCTGTCTGATTCTCCAAGGGAAACAAACCCAGCAATCAATTAATTATGCAGTAACAGTCTGCAATTTCAGAATAAACTATCCACAGACATTTCAGAAAGATTTAAAACCAAGTGAAGGGAGTTAAAAAAAGCAGGCCCTGTCACAGTCTACTGAGTTTGCAGATCTTGCACCACTAAGATTACCAAAAATGAATTGGTATTCAGACCAAGTTTACAAAAACTACACATTAGGTATTTCCCTTTCTAAAATGAGTCACCGAGGCCATTCTGGATATATCTGCTGTTAAGTTTCTGTGCTGCTTTTATAAGCAATCCCACGAGTAGGAAAGTAAAACATAAGGAGCCCTAACAACTGCCTACAATCATCCTACAAGTAC